ACGATGGAACTTATTGTTCCTATGTTGTTTTTAAGTTAGGTGTTTGTTTTTGTTGATGTGTTTATGTGTTTAAATAAATAAAAAATTATCACCCTGTAATGCCACTTACGAAGCAACTTCTCCCCGATCATTTCCAGCTGATCTGTACTGAGTCCCCTTTTTGTGACAGAGGAAAACTGCCAGCTCAGCACTTCAGAAAGCTGTGACCATCTTGCACATGGTGGATTGAGGAAGAAGGACAAATTCTAAAATGGAAGCAGATTGGGATACGTGGAGCAAATATCTCTCACCTTTCTTTCAAGGAGTTCGGGTGACGTTTCCACTTTCCTGCACTTCTGTGAGGTGGACAGATTGTCTACTGAGCTTATGTTTCATAACAAGGAGAAGGCCTTTTTTTTGGTAGCTGTGTCTGAACCCAAGAAAAACCTATTCCTGCTTACCCATAAACCCTCCAGAAGCTACTTTTTAAGCGTGACCCGACAAAAGGGCGAACAACAAAACCGTGTCGCTAAAACCACGACATCATCAACGCGCCGACAACAGCGCGTCGACAGAAGGGCGATTTACAACAGCGCGTCGGCAGGGCGATTTAAATTAAGGTAAGGGTTAGGTTTAGGATTAGATTTAGGGTTAGGGTTAGGGTTAGGTTTAGCGTTACGCTTAGGGTTAGGGTTAGTGTTACGTTTAGGGTTAGGTTTAGTTTTACAGCGCGTTTCTGTCACCGCGCTGTTGTTGGCGCGATTCAGCGCTCATTAGTCGGAGCGCTTTAGAACACGCGGTTTTGTCACCGCGGTTTAGTTGGGCATGGTTTTGTCGTTCGCCCTTTTGTCGGTGAACCCTTTTTAAGAATGTCTTTTGGAAAGACAGTTACTCACTTAAATACGGCATCTTTAACAGCTTGATGTTTGTAATAGGTTTTAAAAGCAACTGCTTTGAACTGACCAGATTTGAATGAAGAGGAAGCTGGCTATATAATGTTTTAAAGGAATAACAAATAAATGGGGACACTAGAAGGTCATTTAATGAGCTTCAGGAATGAGATGGGATCTGAATCTACATCAGCACCATCCTGCTCTGAAATGCCGTGAGGCATTTCCAACTGACAATCTCCAACGTCTCTGGTTTTTAACTTCTGTCGTTTGGAAAAAAAAACAACAACAGATGGGCAAAGGCATTCTAAATACCACACAGTGGCGCTTGTGACTGGCTGAGATTTGATGTTTAAGTAGGAAGTTTTGCCACACAAAATGCGGCACTCAGATGCTACAAGGAGCACTGTTAACTTGGCAAAAAACAATCTAGGATTGCATAAAAAAACTAAGGAGTATGTTGGCCACTCAGTAAGTCTAAACCAGGGGTTCCCTTGAGTCGTGGCCTGGAACTGGGCGGTGGGCAACTCGGCAAGTGCACATAATTCTATTTGTGCACACCCGCCACTTGTGTGGAACCATTCCCCTCCCCCCCCCCGGCCGCCACTGGTCCGCAGAACTGGAAAGGTTGGGTGTGGACCGCTGGTCTAAACCAATCCATGATGCCAAAGCAAGCAGTATTAACAAATCTAAAACCAGATATTAACACACTCAGTAATCAGACAGTTGTACTTTACTTGTAGAAAAAAAATCAGTAGAAATGTCTAAAATTCCTTGTACTCAATCACAAAATCAGAAAACTCCACTCTTATTAAGCAGTTTCAAAGATATGAAGGTTCCTGTATTAATTTTCATTTCCCCTCCTCAAACAGAAAACCAAACTATTTTTGTTCTCTTTTTTCAAAAAGTGGAATATTTTGGAATATTCCAAATTTTGGAAATATCAATGATTTGATAGGAATAAGCATGCTATCTCCCCTCTTTCAGAAATCAACCATTTTTATCTATATAATTATAAATCAAGATGTTTTTCAATATCTCCTCAAAAAGCCATATAAACATCAATTTTGTAATAAACAGATGAATATAATAAACTGGTTTTCTTTTGGTGAACAGAAAAAAGGCAACTATAGCAATAGTGCATCTATTTGATCTGATTAGAGAATTCATATTTTCCTACCAAATATTAAAGCATTTTATGATATAAAATGCTTCAAGTGCAATGTCATAAATTCTGTTATGTTCAACAAGACTAAATTCCTTGTAAAAGCATTTATGGCAGAAGCTTTAAAGGGAGCCAGACTGAATGCAGGGATTCTTAGCAATTTCAATCTTAGAAAAGGTGCTTGTTAAGTTACCTTTGGTTCATTCATCAGCATATTGTACCATAAAATGGAAGCCCATCCACTTGGTAATTGACTGACATTTGAGATCACAACAATTGGAAGGGAATGGGTCTGGGAAGGGAAAATCACAGAGACAAGTTAAGCAAATATTCATAAATGGCAAATATTCCACAGGCAGAAAAAATGAAGCTAGATTCACATATCACATGGTCATGGCTTTTTAAATAGTTTTGAATACGCTAGGAGTGCAAAACCACTTTATAATCCGTATACGTAAACTGTGGATTCAGCCAAAACTTCTATCCAGCCTCTCCAAGTATTTGGCTTTTAATTCCATCCTCCTCTGCCATACAGAGAACGACCATTGACTTACCTGAACGGCCCTTCTATGTGCGCTGCAAGGGGAATCCAAGCATGGGTTAACTTTGTCCATTAGCCTAGAGACTGAGTTACGTAATTGTTGACCACGCCCCCTCTGACTAGGGTAGTTCAGTTTTGTACGAAGGATCAGCCGATCCAAGAGAAACAAAGGAATCAGCAGACTAGAAGGTAAGTAGGTAAGTAAACACAATACGTTTGTGTGAGATTGAAACAGTGCCAGTGCCTGGACCAGCCGAAGCCAAGGGTGGGTTTGGATTCCCCTCACAGCGCGCATAGAAGGACCATTCAGGTAAGTCAACGGTCATTCTCCTGTGCGCTGGTTGGGGAATCCAAGCATGGGACATGCCAAAGCAATGAGTTTCAAGGGTGGGACGCAGGCTGGTCAGGGGCCATGGATGATGCTACAACCCTCTGTAAGACGCGTCACTCAAAGGAAGCCTCCGCCGAGGCATACATGTCCACTTTGTAATGACGGATGAAGAGCGACATTAATGACCAGGTCACCACCCTACATATGTCCTCCTCTGAGGCCTGTGTTGCCCATGCTGCCGTGGTGGCTGCACTCCTGGTGGAATGGGGAGGGTGCCGGTCGAGATTGGGATTCGTATGCGAGGGCAATGCACGCTTTCAACCAGCGCCCAATGGTGTTTGAGGACACCTTCTGTCCCATGGATGCCGGCTGGTAAGACACAAAAAGCACCTCTGATCTCCTGAATGATGCCGTGCACTTCACATAGTGACAGAGCACCCTGCGACCATCAAGATGGTGCCACTTCCATTCCTGAGGGTGTGACGGATTGGGACAAAAGTCTGGAAGGATGAGTTCTTGCGCCCTGTGGAACAAGGAGTTAACTTTTGGCAGGAATGCCGGGTCCAATCACAAGATGACTCTGTCTTGATGGAATATACAGAGATCCTCCTGTACTGAAAGTGCTGCCAGTTCTGAGAGTCTTCTAGTGGATGTAATCGCCACTAAAAAAATGGTTTTGAGAGTCAACAATCTAAGACTGACGGTACGAATGGGCTCGAAAGGCTCAGCCATGAGAGCTCTAAGTACCAGGAGCAAATCCCATGTAGGGTAACGGTGGACTACTGGTGGCTTGAGGTTAGATGCACCCTTCAAGAAGGACTGGACCCTCGGATGGTGAGCAAGGGAATATCCCTGGGCGCCTCCCACCACAGTCGATAATGCCGCAATCTGTCTATGTAGACTGCTGGACATTAGCCCTTTATCCAAACCCAATTGTAAAAAGTCTAAAACCCGTGGAACAGGAGACTTAAGTGGGTCCACAGATACTGTCTGGCACCACCTGCAAAAGGACTGCCAGGTAGCTTCATAAATTCGTGTCGTGGATGGACAGCGAGCAGCTTGGATCGTGGTGATGACCTTGTCAGAGAAGTGCTGACACATCAGGATTGCCCGCTCACATGTCACACGGCTAATTGTAGCAGCTGAGGTTTCAGATGGATGAGAACCCCCTGCAAGAGCGTTATCCGGTCGTCTGGTATTCTCCACGGTCGGGAGATTGAAAGATGGACCAGATCGGCATACCAAGGGCATCTGGGCCACATTGGCGCGACCAAGAGAACTTCCGCCTGCTCCAATAGAATCTTCTGGATGACCAGCGGTATGAGTGGGAGAGGTGGGAAGGCGTATAGGAGACCTTCCGGCCAGGGGCTACAAAGGGCGTTGGTGCCTTCTGCTTCCGGAACATAATACCTGGTGAAGAACCTTGGCAGGTGTGCGTTGTGCAGTTAAGCAAAGAGGTCCACCTGGGGCCGACTGAAGCAGTGAGCCAGTTCCTGGAATAGAGTCGGATGGAGCTGCCACTCCATCTGGTCTACTGTGGTTCTGCTCAGCCAATCCGCCTGTACACTGGCTGTGCCCGAAATGTGCTCTGCCCCGAGGGATAACAGGTGAGTCTCCGCCCAATGGTGAAGACGTTCCCCTTCCAGCATCAAGGCCCGGTGGTTGACATGCACCTTGGAAGCTACATTTTCTGTGAGAACCAACACGTGCTTGGTCATCACCAGGTCTCGAAAGTCGCGGAGAGCTAGTGTGAGCCCTCTGAAATGGGAGCTGGTGTGAGCCCTCTGAAATGGGAGCAAAAACCACTGGAGAGGACGTGCGTGAAACCTCGACCATGGGACAATGTCTATACATGAGATCATCTTCCCCAGCAGCTGGGAGAGGACCATGAGGGCATTTGCACCTGACTCACCAGGGTCTGAAGGCTTTGGCGTCTTTCCTGGGAAAGCGACACCATGCACCGTTCAGAGTCGATGACGGTCCCGAGATGGAGGAGGGATGTGGTCGGGTGCAAGTGACTCTTTGGAAAATTCAAGAGGAGCTGTGGAGTTGTAATGCTTCGATCGTGGTCTGCAAATCAAGTCTTGCCATATCTGGGGATGACAATAGGATCAAGATGTCGTCTAAATAACAGTTGACCCTTATCAGGATTGACCAGAGGGATGCTGCTATTACCGCCAAGAACTTCGTGAAGGTCCGTGGGACCGATGAAAGGCCGAATGGCAGGGCACAGTATAGGAAATGGCGCCCCAAAACTGGAATTGCAAGAACCTTCAATGTGGTGGGTGTATCGGCACATGGAGGTATGCCTCCTTGATGTCCACAGAGGTCAGTAGGTCACCCTGCCGGATACAGGCCAGAATGCTCTTGAGCGACTGTATTTTGAACCTCTGGTATTTCAGGTAGAGATTGAGCCATCTTTCCCTGTCTGGAGGGGAGGGCAGAATGCCAGCAGCTGAAATGGCACAGCTGACTCACTCGGAACTGCGCTGCGACGCGAAGGCTCCCAAAGCACTGGAAACGGCAACCCATGCCTAACAATTGTGTCCACTTCCGCCGGAGGCAAGGTCGCGCTGCCTTTCTCGGCAGCAAGCGAAGAGAATGGGAGGCAGTACCAGTGGGTTGTTGAGCCCCGCGCCGACACGAGAGCGGCGAACCGACTCTCACCACGGCCACTTATCAGGGAAGAGAGTTTTTTTGCGTCTCTCTAAGGCTGGACTGAGTTAAAAACTGGACTACCCCAGCCAGAGGAGGCATGGTCAACAATTATGTAACTCAGTCTCTAGACTAATGAACAGTTAACCCATGCTTGAATTCCCCAAGCAGCGCACAGGAGAAGATGAGAGTTATGGCTCTAAACCAGAAGTATCGAACTCAATTTTACTGAGGGCTGCATCAGGGTTGTGTTTGACTCGGGGGTGGGGGAGCAGGGCATGGCCAGGATAGGCATCTGGGCTCTGTTTTCAGCCACAACAGCCTCCTGCAGTCCCCTGTCAGGGAAAATGGAGCTCAGGGAGGCTGCACACTGTTTTTGCTGGCAGAGGGCTGCAGGAGGCCATCACAGCCGAAAACTGAGCCTGGGGGCACTGCACGTGGCTCACCCAAGTTTGGTTTTCCCTGGCAGAGGCACCATAGGCCAGTCCTTCACTGTTTCCAGAGTGGCCCCACGGGCCAGATCTAAGTACTCCGTGGGCCGGATCCAGCCCACGAGCTTTGAGTTTGACACCCCTGCTCTAAACCAACGGAACTGAAAGTTTGATATCAGACTGTTAACTTCACAATATACACTGGTGTCATTTCATCATTAGAGCCATTCAGGATTAAAACAAAACACAGATCTTCGCATCATCCAAAGATCTGAGCAACAGCTACAAAGAATAGGGTAATGAAATAATGAAAACTAATTACAAGGTCACATTGAACACCTTTAGCCTAGCCCCCAAAGAAGAAACAGAGGTTTGGGCTTTAGTTCCAAAACATCCTACACCAATCAATACAGTAAGCCAGGCAAGGACAATCTGACTTTAGATGTAAGGCTGCTTTAACCACTGAGGACCATTTTTCCCAAATTACCACATGCCAAACTTTTCTTAATTTTACTTAAGACTTGTGTCCGCATCATAGAATACAGCAACAAGGACTGTGCATTGAAGAAGCAATGATTATAGCCACTCTCACTTTCCATTTATCAATTCAGTGAAATGGACAAAAGCAACAAAGTGAACCAAGAGTAGCCATCCATTTGCTTTTGAGGTATGACAACATCATCTCACAAACATGATCATTAATTGGCACCATTTACATTAAGACATTTGACATAATAACTTCTCCTGTCCTTTGTATGGTAACCCTGACATGCACACCATCACTTCCGGTAATGGAACGATCTTCCCGCAGAGATCCGGACCCTTCCCACTCTCCCGGCCTTCCGTAAAGCCACTAAAACCTGGCTGTTCTGGCAGGCCTGGGGCTGTTGACCCCAAAATATGGGCCAGCCCCACTCAGAATGGAGTGCATGGTGTTTTTTTTTTAATCTATCTTTTCTTTCT